AAAATCTTACTGAATATATGCTTGCCAATGGCAAAGGTATATTTGCTGAACCAGATGTAATCGCGACGATTTTTCCTTTACTCTTTCGAAGATGAGGAATTGCAAAGTAAGTGATGTATGTTGTGCCCCAAAAGTTGATGTCCTTGTATACACAAATTAGATGAAGTAATCAATATAGAGTTTGAAATTGTTGATTTGATTCTAAAGCAATTAAAGTCATACATAATTTCTGGATTACCATTGATATAAATTGGAGGAAACTTACCATTATAGGATTTGCGTCTTGAATTTGAGTGAAATCTTCGAAAAGAACAGTTTGAAATATACCAGCATTGTTGATCAGGTGGTCTACTGTTCAAATATGATAACTTTATTAGAATAATAATCTAAATAAATTTGACAATAAAACATAGTTAATTTTCATTATTTGTGGCATATGCATATAGTTACATGCTACAATAAAACATAGTAAATCTTCATTACTACTTAAATTTTAGTTTAGTTCGGGTTTGTATTCGACATAGTAGAACTAGCCAGAGTACTTACGTTTTCCGAAATGACGAATCGTCTCATCAATGAACTTCTTGCAGTCCTCAACATTAGAAACATCACCAGGTATGGTGATGACATTACCAGATCCTAATTGACGTGATGTTTCTGCTACAATCTCTAGACGATCCCTTCTTCGAGCAACAAGAGCCAAATATGCACCTTTCTTTGCGTACTCGTATGCCACATGCTTTTTTTCAAATACAACAAAACAAGAACATAAACAATCTAACCAAATATCATATCAATTGATGTGGATCTATACATTTAGTTATTTTTAGTCGTATTTAGATACTGTCAAATAAATTATCTATTTCCTAGCACTCATATAATTGCAAGAGATTCCACGACAAAATAGGACCTCGAAAACAAAACCATTAACACTATCACCAATGTCGGATCTATGTTATCACTTATATATACACTCATACATATATATTTGAATCAGTAATTAGAAGAAATAGCTCTATATTGATCATAATAGACTAAATCTACAAATCGTTAATTACTTGGTATTCGTCCAAAAAAAAAAACGTAAGAAAAAAACAATTGAACATGATAACAAAAGGGCATAACATTCAAAGCTAACTAACCTCTCCGATGCCGGAGGAAGCTCCGGTGATTAGAACTACTTTTCTGGCTACGTTTTCGAAGTGAAGGTACTTATGAAGACAACGCACAAGTTTGATCAAAAGATAAAATGGGTAAAAGAAGACAAGGAAACTGATGGTAAGAGGAGGTAGAAGAAGATTGAGAATGGTGGTAATGATATCCATGTTGTTCTTTTGCAGAACCAACACCACTACTTGTTTTTTTTTTATATGTTAAAATGTTCAAACTTATACTTTACGAGTCAAGTCTATTTTAAAAGACACCGAAAGCTAGAAGGGGAGGAAATAGTGGCAAGTGGATCTCTCTACTATTTTCTTATTCTTCTGTATCTCGTTATATTAGGAAAATAGGTTAATTGCTACTAAAAATATATATTAATTGCTTTATATATATATTTGTTGCTAGGAATGTAAATATTACTTAAAAAAAGTTAAACAGAACATTATTTACAAGAGAGTGACTTTGGCAAAAAAAAAAAAAACAACAAAAAAAAAACAAGGCTACAATGTTACACAAGATTTGTTGTTTAACAAACAGATCCAAAGGAGCATAAGCTTTTGCCAATGATTTCCGAGTCTTCTAGAAGAGATGGTGTTACAAACTTCGCGGTCGGTGCTATATATATGTATGTGTAAAAAGCTTAATATATATGGACACACAGAAATTCCATGACAATTATATCCATTTGAATCCCTTTTATTGAATAATAAAGAAATCCTCTATCTATACGAAATGTTTGTTTCTAAAACAAATATGAAGAAAGGGACTACGACTTAGTGCAATAACTAATATAAGACAAAGTATAAGTTTCATGGCCATAATGACAACACAACCACAGTTGAAGACCAGAGATCTTGGATAGATGGATATGATCAATCACGCTTGAAAATTGAAATAAGGTTTGCCATAGCAAACAAATATATAGATGAGTACGTAGTCTACGATTTCTGGACAAACATTTTGTATCAAAAAGATCCATTTTATCCAAGATGGCTCTACTATGTATGTCTCTCCTCTACCAATACCTCTGAAGATCGCTTTTGCGCATTTACTCACTGATTCCGAAAGGATGAAATCTGAACCATACTATTTTTCAATAAAGCATTAAAAAAACATAAATTAGTTAATGTCATATATATAAGGTACAAAGTTATGTACAAATGTTACTACTGACCATTTCTTTAAACTGAGGAGTGGTCATATCTGTAGATATAAATCCGGGAACAGCGATTGTTATTTTGATATCTGGACTGATCTCAACTCTTAATGTTTCAAAGAATTTTACTAAAGCTGCTTTGCTTGCCTACATCATACCAAGTAGTATGAATGTCATATGTATACGAAAAGTATGTAAAAGATTTTGTTTATCTTACTGAATAGACGCTTGCCGATGGCAAAGGTATAATTGCCGTAGCAGAAGCAATCACAACAATTTTTCCTTTGCTTTTTCGAAGATGAGGAATAGCAAAATAAGTGATGTACGTTGAGCCCCAAAAGTTGATATCCTTATAATATAAATTAGATGAAGTAGTCAAATATAGGGTTTGAATCTTGATCGATGTTTCAGATTAACATTAATTAACTACATGTCTAAAATTTACTTTGATGTTTAGATATACCCAAGTTATTACTTGCGTTTGAAGCAATCAAAATCATGTTCAATAACAGCTAAGCATTTTTCTTAATATATGGATTATTAATGAACTTGTAAAAGAATATCTTTAACAAAACTCACCATTATAGGATTAGCGTCTTGAATTTGTGTGAAATCTTCGAAGATAACAGTTTGAGGTACTCCAGCATTGTTGATCAGGTGGTCTACTGTTTAGATATGATAACTTGATTAGAACAATAACCATCTAATAAAGTTTGACATAAAATTACAAAACTACTTAGAATTTCGTAATCATAACATCAATTTAGATAACTTATCCTTTTATACAAGTACTTACGTTTACCGAAATGATGAATCGTCTCGTCGATGAACTTCTTGCAGTCTTCAACATTAGCAACATCACCAGGTATGATGATGACATCGCCAGTTCCTAATTGACGTGATGTTTCTGCTACTATCTCTAGACGATCCTTTCTTCGAGCAACAAGAGCTAAATTTGCTCCTTTCTTTGCATACTCGTATGCCACATGCTTTTTTTTTCCGACCCAACAAAAGAAGAACATATATCAATTTATGATAGTCTTAACGATTGTCAAATATAAAGAATCAATTTGGTTGTACATATGTATGATGATAGAACGTCAAATATTTGAATGGTATGCGGCTTAACCAAGTTTCACGTTTTGCAAACGTGACTATGTACCAATTACATATCATTCATAAGTATCATCTTGCACACGTTTTATAATTATAATTAGATTAAAAAATACTTATGCATCACTAAATTGTAAAATTTAGGAGTTAAACAAATTATTTTGGTATTTGTTGCTAAAAATTCAAGATAAGACCAACAAAAAAAAACAATTAAACATGATAAAGAAAAAAGACATAGCATAAGATCCAAAACTAGCTAACCTCTCCAATGCCGGAGGAAGCTCCGGTGATTAGAACTACTTTTCCGTCAACGTTTTCAAAGCAAATGTTCTTGTAAAGACAACTCACAAGTTTGATAAAAAGATAAAATGGGTAAAAGAAGACAAGAAAACTGATGGTAAGAGGAGGTAGAAGAAGATTGAAAATAAAGTGAAGCTTATCCATGAAGCTTACCTCTCTACTTGTTTTTTTATTTCGTTTTTACTTAACAAGAGAAACCCGTTTTATTAGTAGATAGATATTAAAAGCTAGAAAGGGAGTCATTTCAATTATGTAAAGAAAAAAGGATTGTTGGCCGTCATTAAGAAGTTGTACCCTGCAGAAATAGCGTATTTCTCTATTGTGTGATGTGAAAGTAATCTAAATGAATGTTTTTAGTTTTATGTATATTTCAGTGCATCTCATGCGTTATGCTCATTCATCTAAATTTTCTGCTTCGTTCCATGATCATCACACTAAAAAGGATAATTTAATCCTTCATTGATGACTTAACATAAGAGAGCTAAAACTGAAAACACAATTTTGATTCACATTTAAACTTCTCTCAATGTTTTTTTACAGCTTCGCACGTTTTTGAAATGTAGAGGACATTTTTAGGTAATGTGGATGACCTGATGAAATAGTGTATTAAATTAAGTTCTTGATGATTCAAAACCTTAATTGGAACAATTACGTCATGACAACCAAACCACCCGAAATTGTCATCATAAACTCTGCCTTGAAATTCGTATAACACAATCAATCTTCACCTTAGTAAGTCGTCACAATGCAATTTAGCCCACACAAATCATTTTGTTTACAAAAAAGTTGCCCATTATTAAGTTATAACCGATGAATCGTAAAGATATTAACAAAAAATAGCACATGGAAACCTAAGAAAAATGTTGCGATGTGTGTCAGATTACAAAAGACTCAGCAACGGGTTTTAAACCCTAAGCCAGGGATAACTGTATTTTGATTTTTGTTTCTCATCATCCACAACATCACACACCCTAACAATCCTCAAACTCTTAAAAAACCAAAAAAAACATAGGTTTAAATAAGCCTCAGACCGTCCTAGTCAAGTTAGATGCTTTTCAACACTGAAATTTCAGCAACCATTGAATCTAATCATCACAGGCTTCCAACAATACAAAGACCAAAACTTAAAAAAAATGAAAGAAAAACAGAGGAAATCATCAGATCTTCCTATACAAGTGAATCATAAAACCCAGAAATATCTGAGCATTCAACAACTTGGCAAAGTTTTCCTCATTTGAAATCCAATTACAAAAACCAAAACATCAAAACCAAATATTGTTCCCCGACGTCCTAAGTAACATCATTGAAAATTGAAGAACAGGATAGCGAGGGAAACTAAATTCAATGTAGGCAATTACACTTCACAACAAGCTTCACATATAAACATATATTCAAAGCATGAATCTTTATATCATGTAAAAGCCACCAAGACACAAAACACAAAACACAAAGAAAGAAGAACTCAGTCCCTTAGATGTTCATAATAATGCGATCATTACCGCAATCATTACAGGTCTGTAAACTGACTCATCACTGTTCTTCCACAACAACAAAACAAGATTCAAGACAAAACACAAACCCTAATCATAAGAGATTATGTAGCTGCTCAAGTAATTCTCACTAATCGGTAATCATACTAGAATTAACTGTGTGATTACTTTAATGATTAGAGAGTAATTATAAAGAACGAGAGCAACACGATTAATATTGCTTCAAGGGAACGAATCATATGGGAACGGACAAATCCACATCGACTATCTGATGAAGCCATTCTAATAACCTAATTTCGATAAACACTAAATCTAAGAACAAGCATACTAAAGCAATTGACTAACACTAAGCTATGAACCCTAGAGAATGAATCGGCTGAAGAATTGTGAGAGGAATGGTTGGTGTGTGGAAGGGTTTATATAGGGAGGTTTATTGACGGTAGAGATTAGGGTTTTTAAGTGTTGGAGAGTTAAATGACGAAAGTAGCCTTGGGCTGAGATTTTGTAAGGTCGGTCATTGTGGTTATTGTAACGGCCCAATATTGAAGGGGTTTTGTTTTTATTTGAAGCCCAGTATCGTATTGAATTAGTTTTTTTTTAGGTAGTTTAGATTTGCCAAATTTTAGGTCACCAAAAACAAAAACAAAACATAGCTAAATTTAGGAAGTGATGTGAGCATGATTTTTAATTTTTTCAAAATTAAAAAAAAAATTGAGGTTTAAAGATTGAGATTTTAACCCAAAAGAATTAAGGATTTTAGATTTGTTTTGAAAATAAACGTTAGTTTATCCGATGACATATTATTTTTCATGGTATTATGTTATTTTATCCGATAGCACTCTGTTATATATATAGTCATCCATAGACGATTGTTATTTTACATGATAACACACTATTTTACATGATAACACATTATTAATATATTGGATAAAATAACAAGAATTGTGTATATGAACCAAAACCATTTTCAACATCAACCGTGCAAGAGAAATATTTCAGTTATTAATGTTTGGACCACTAATGTTTAAATAGCAAATCAATTTCAGAATATTTAATTTGTTATCTACCTTGCAAAAATGTTTTAACCATCACAATTTGCTCTTTAATTATTTTGGTTCACCGTGAAAATGTTATGAGTTTACCATGAGAAACTGTCAATATCATTACCTATCTGTCAATCACCCCAGATTGGAACTACATAATAAAAAATATAATATTGGAATGAAAATTCAAAAGATGAAGTTTCCGTGTAAGTTTGTGTTAAATGAGCAAAGTAGATTTCGACTCATTGTCTAGTCACGATATACATGGAAACGTGATGTTTTGCAGAACGTACCATCTCGTTGCAGAGTCCAAATCGAGTGTAGTAATTATTCATGGAAATATATACTGACTAGAAGAAAAGTATATATACTGATGAGGTAAATATAAATAAAATTGTAAGAAACCAAAAGATCAGTACAAGTACAACTCTGTAATAATAATATGATTCAAGTACCAAATATTACTGAATGGGGAATTATGTAAGTACAGGTACATTCTACAACTTTTTGTTTCTTCTGTGAAATGTGTGAATGACAAAAATAAAAGTCTACGTACATTCTTTTCGGAGAAAAAAATAAAGTTCAAAACTTCAAATGGATAATATTTCTGTTTGATAAATAGGATGCATAAGACTTTTTTATAAAGCAAAAAGAAATGGACATGAGTGTATGACATTTCACTTTTATAGAATTTTGAAATAAAAAAAATTATAAAGCAAATTGCAGTCAGTCAAATAACGAGAATTTTCTAATTTAATTTTGAACAGTGAGAACGAAATGGACTACGCAACCTTGCGACCAAGTTTCATCACCATTTGGGCTTTTGTTTTCCAAACTATTATTCTAACCATGTGGATTAACTCTTAGATTCATTTAAGAGTCGAATTGCCGTATCAATTATGATTTTGTTATTTTGATAATATTCAGTATTTTTATATTGATGAATATAGATTAACCGTGTTTTATTGCAAGAACATAACTCACAAAAGATACAATTTTTTTTTTTTTTTGTGCACTACAAAAGATACAATTATATGAACAAAATAAGAAAAGAAAAAAAACAATGTAACTTGGAGGTTGCGAACCAGGCTAAGAAGGTTCGGATCCTTTTGTCCGAAGATGACATGGCATGGCACGGTCGTGCACGAGCTAGCGTCTATTTCTTTCTAGCCGTAGCTCGTAGATGATGATCTGCCAGATAGACTAGGATCGTGACCTCATGAATGACGAGTCGTCGTTTTTTAATTATGTCCAAACTTATTATAAACGTGATATATTCTCTACTTCTTTTTTTTAACTAACGGGATATTCTCTTACATAATCCCACTTACTAATTAATTAATTGACCAACTATATAAGTATTTTATGACCAGCCTAAATTAATTAAATTACAATTGATGACGCTTTGTGAGGACTTTGAGGTGTTTTAAAGTCTTTACTTTAAATATGACTTTTGGTTAACATTTTAGGCTAGTTTTAACTGATTGTGTTTTTGTATATTTAAACTTTCGCGTTTGTTTTGGCATTTTACATTTGAATATTAGTATAATGGAGACACCTATTTAACCTAACAAACTGTCTATACGTCATCTGTTTTTATCTTCTTCTTTCACAAATTATAAGAATCTTCTTCCTTCTCTGTTTATTTGATAACAAAAAACTTGCTTATACATACACGGCATGGATCTTACAATTATTAGCGTCATTTTTACTAATATTTTTTCTTCGTTAGAATCCAAACTATTCGGATAGGTATTTACAGTCTTGGTTAGAGAATCTCAATCATATATAGCTGAAAGTGTACCATATTGATAGATGGGGGGACACCAGCCATTTTTATATTTTCAAATATATCAAACGATTTACAATGTATCATGTCGCGATTTGGGCTTGCTACCTCAAGAATAGGGCTGATTTTTCGTTTTAGCCAATCAAAGAAATAACACGTCGATATTTTATTTTGCATATCATGATCAGTGTTCAAGAAAGCGCTAGGCGCTAAACGGGCCGTGACCCAGTGCCTAATGCCTAGAACGCCTAATCGGGACCTAGACGATTTTTTAGGCGGTTTAGACGTTTATAACATAAAACATTATAAATATGATATTATATATAAAAGTTATATAAAATATCTATATAAAACTAAAAATTATGAAATTACAAACAAAAACTTGATAAAACATTTATTTATATTTATATTAAACAATCTATAAATATTTATAACTATATATATAAATAAAACTCTAATTGAAATTGTAAAAATGCATTAAACAAGATCTATGTACTTTTATGCGGTCAATGCGGTTATTTAGGCGTCGAATGAGAGCCTAGCGCCTAGTCGGGGCCTAGGCGACCGCCTAGACCGCTTTTTAGAACACTGATCATGATATATATTAGCATTATCCAAATTCCAAGTGAGATTCATCTTCTCACCTTTGCACATTGTAGCAACGTGTGAGGCATGTGCGATGCCTCTACCTAGAATACACATGTGATCTGGTATATACATATATACATGGTTAAATATATTGTAAAGTACTATGATTTATGGATACACTCGAAGACTTCTCTTTTATTCGTTTCCGGAAACTATCATAATGATCCACTATCTCCTAATCTCCTATATAATTGTTATATCTCCTTCTCAAGATTCGGTTTCGAATCGCGACCAATTACAGTACGTAACACACATGTCTAATCTCTATATTTTTTAAAAAATACACATATATCCAAAGTAGGGTTATGTTAATTATAAAATAGTGATATACAAAGACTTTTGTTTACATAAGTAACTGTATTTTTAATATTATGATAAACTTTGTAAAACCACCTTAGTTTGTAAAAACCATAGAGGGTCGTGTTTATTCACATTTGTATTATGTTATAATTCGAATCCAAACTTGAAAATATGTGTGCACTATTAGATTATAAAAAATAATAATTTGTAAAACGATATTGCTAATTATCGGTAATAATTTGTAAGAAAATTTTCTGTGTTCCACCATGATTTAACGGTACTCATTTTTTCTTTTTGACTCTTAACTTTACTTATCATTTGTTATCAAGAAAAAGCTACTTACTCATATCATTTTAAGTTCCATCATTTTATGTGAAATGTATTTGCTGTTTTAACATTATGATAAAATGCTTATACAAAAAAAAAAAAAAATGCTTATCCTACAATGATAGTACAATCAAATACAAGTGGTCCCACCATTGTCGTGGTAACACGTGTACGGCTCTAAAGCAACCAGAACAATCCATTGGACAAGTTTTACACCGTCAGATAAGTACATATCCACTTGCTGACTCAGCCGGGTAAACCTAAACCGGAGTTTGCCCCACCGCCAAAATTGGAAGAACCCGGAGAAAAGAGAATGTAAAAAGTAAAAAACCCATCGAAAGTCGTAAGAAGGTTAATTAACACGTGGAAACAGCTGGTCAGAGTTATCCGGTAACTTATCCGGTTACAGGTAAAAATAAAAGTGGGCCCCATTCACGACTCCTTCAGAACCAAAACGCGACATCACGGCGCCGTTTAGTGTCTATAAATAGAGCAATCGGTCGTAGAAAAACAAGACATCAAAAACGCGAATATCGATAAAACACTTCTACGTGCAAATTTCTCCTTTCTCTTCCTGGACATCTGTCTGTTTTGTACTATATTTTCTTGTAATCTTTTTTTGGGATTTAAAATATCCATTCCCTAAAGTTTCGGAAAATTCTGTTTTTTCTGTTCTCATTGTTCGTGATCTGTTTCATTTTCTTCACCTAAAGAAAAAAACATGTGTGGAATACTTGCCGTTTTAGGATGTTCCGACGATTCTCAGGCCAAGAGAGTTCGTGTTCTTGAGCTTTCTCGCAGGCAATTCATTTTTCCTCTCTTTTTTTTG